CCAGATCTACCACAGTGCCAGTATGTGATCCGATACCTCTCAACCTGTGCATCGAAGCCCACACAGAAAGCGATGGTTGTCTTGAAACATTTGGTTGGCTACATGGCAGGTCATTCTGACCAGTATGTCTCTCTGAAGTGGAAAGGCATGCGCTCAGGCCTTCTACGTGACTATGAGTGTGAAGAGCCTGTGCTTGAGATTTTCAGTGATGCAGACTGGGCTGCTGATCGAAACACCAGAAGGTCAGTTTCTGGTGGTGCAATCTTCTATGGAGGATGTTTTTACTCTTCCTCGAGGATTCAAAAGACCGAGTCTGAAACATATGCTGCCGCTTGAGCTGTCATGGATGCCATCCTCATCAGAACCATTCTTTGTTGGGTACTCCAAGTACGCATTCTCATGTATTTGTACTTGGACTCATCAGCTGCACGGGGAGTTCTATCACGCAAAGGGGTTGGACGTTTGAGACATTTGAGTTGTAGGGTTCTCTGGCTCCAGAACTTGGTAGGTAAAAAGATGCTTCAAGTCAAGGCAGTTTTGGGAACAATCAATCCAGCTGATGTGTCGACCAAACGACTGTCAATAGCAAGGTTGGAATCATTGATGTATCTGTTTGGACTCTGGAACACAACTCAGCATCAACTTGTAGGAGCAGAAGATCCCGGCAGAATTTTCAGGCACATTCAACAAAGCACTTCATCCAATTCAGGTCGAGATTTGCAACTTCGAGTTTTGATCAGCGCCTTGAGCCTACTGACTCTCCAGTTACAGGGGTGTGAAGCCATGACCAGCGATTTGATGGAGATACTGTATGTCTTCACTGCAACATGGGTTGGTTTGCTTGGCATGTACCTCTTCTGGATGTCACAGTGCTCCAAGAGCAACAGGGGCACTAAGGACGACCCAAATTTTGGATGCAATTTTCCAATGAGGGATGACGACGTTGACACAGCAAGCGTCGCATCATGTATGACAGAGGACACGGACGAGCCTCCAGCGTTTTCTCCAGAAGGCTTGATCGATTGGATGTTTGAGAGATGCAACAGGCGATTCGAGGATGCTCTGATTGCAGGGAATGAGGCAAGGGCACAAGCCTATGGACAACGTCGAGCTTTGTTAGCTGACTTCATGAACTTTGTCGGGGCCGCAAACGATTCAGAAAGAGAGCAGGCAACTGAGATGCTGAGCACAATAGATGATCTCAGCAGCCATGAAAGTAGTCCAAGCAAGGACATGGAAGAGACTGAAGAAGCAAGAACTGGAAGAGTGAGGATTGGTCGTGCAGCAATGGTCACGCTGTAGAGCACCATGGCTATGCAGCTGCAAGGGTGCTCACCTTTCTCCATCTCTTCAACATCAGCCGATGGTTCTTGGTTCAGTTTTGCATTTCTGATGACATGGACAATGTTGCTTGCTGGATACTCATGGTATATGCTCTACAGCATGAATCAACGATACACTGTTCAGGCACCACATACGCCTGACATGCTGAACCTCAATGTGGAGCCCCAGGTGACAAACGAGAGCACAAGCGTTGAAGGGCTTGTGACATGGACTTTAGTCCGAGCACGCAGAAGGCTTCAAAAGATGCAGGCAGCTGGAAACATTGGTGGCTGCATGCGCTGTAGCCAAATCCAAAGATGGCTTGAAACATGCCTGTGCCACCTTCCCACATCGGGATCCTATGACCGCAACAGGATCGTGCAATCTCTGGCTGAGGAGAACACACTCTCAGATGATGATGAATCTCCTACAGCTGGAATGGGAGATGATGAGAAACAGTTGATGATCAACAGCCATGGGGACATCCACCGATGTTTGGTGAAGCTGCTGGAACTTGAGAAATTGGAGGTCACAACGGACTTGCTGAAAGTCTTTGCAGAGGCCTTCAGGACTCCAGAGCCACCAGATGATTCAGATGAACCCATGAGCGAAACGCAATCACAGCGTTTGTATCGATACAGAAACAGTGAACAGTGCGAAGTGTCAGATCCAAATGACTGGGCCAACATCCACTATGGCCCAGGACATGAAGAGCGACAAGAAAGTGAAAGAAATTTGCAGGCGTTTTAGGAGAAAACTCAAAATTCAGAAGGCACCACCCGAAGAAAATCATTAGGGTGAGATACAAACCTCTCACCAGTGGCTTTAGTGCCAAGATTTTTTTGAAAAGTTCCAACAGAAGCGAGGAGATGGACTAACAACAGTCCTAAGGAACTAGGAAATGTAACTCATAAGCAAAGCTTAGAGTTAAGGCGGGGTGCAAATATTGTACGGCACTTGCATCCTGTCAGTTTTACATGCATTGATGTCAGTTTACAGCAGTGACATGTCAATTGCCACATGTCCAAATCATCTCGTATGTTTGAGGCGCTTTCGGTTCCAAAAGATTTGCAAGAATGCATGCACATCCTTCAACAACTGATGGGCTGTCATTGGAACTAGGGAAGTGTCTCGCTTGGAGGCCCACGAGCTGATGACTGATGTCCAAGACTTGAGTGATGATTCGCCCCTTACCTCTCTGCTGCCCCCAAGTGGTCGTCAAAGTGCCATTCGAGGTGCCCAGCGTGCTTATGAGTTTCGGTCGAACCTCCTGCGCATTTTCCATGCATCAGCCTCTTCATCCTCTGGAAGTGTTCATGTGGATCAGGTGGCAAGGCAGCTGATCGAGCCTTGTGGAGAACTGAGTGAAGCAGGTGATTCACCAATGGAAACAATCCAAGCGCGTTTCGAACGATGCTATTGCAGTGCTGTGGAAAGGGTGTCAGACCCTGAGTACTGGATGGAGGCGAACCATGGTTCCGATGAGGTTGTAGATGAAGAGTGCTGTCACGAAGTGAGAGCACAATCTTTAAAAGAACATTGGAAAAACGTGTCATCACAATTTTTGCAACTCAGGTCAAAACGTTATCTTTTGTGTTTGGGGTCTCTGATGTTTGATTTGTTTTCTGAAGTTTTCCCTCAACTTCAAACAAACAAACCAAACCTCAAACATCTTTCTCCCTTGGTTTCACATCAGAATTTTTATTCGTGTGGCATTATTCATATCAAGGGTGAGGTAGGGAAGGGTTAAAAAAACATTTCTTCAACCAACCATTTCTTTTCGGCGTACGGGGGCTAATGGATGCAAAGCAGATTTCGGAACTGTCTAACTACAGCATCATTTCATTGCTCCTGTTGATTTTCAGAGAACTCGCCAAACGCCTTGAAGTGCCCTTGGTCCCATTGCCCAACAACGCAGCGCAGGGATCTCAGGACAAAGAGATGGGTTGCATCGTGGTGAAAGTCAAACGCCATACTCTTGCTGGAACGGCTGTGGAATTGCGGGTTGCCACAAGTGGTGTGAGCTGGAAGGTGACCACACTGCCCACCGCTGTTTTCAGCACAGTTGGGATTAAGTAATGGTTGTTGAACACAGAGGTTTTAGAGGACGTTGGCAACGCTTTGAATCTGCAAACGTCACCAACACAGACTCAAACGATGTTGATCCTTCTTTTTCAGATCCTGGTGTGGATTGGGAACATGTCGAACAGTCAGCTGCAAGTGATATGTTTGGTTTGCCTCATGACGATGATTTTGAGGACATTGCAACAGCAATGGATGATCAGCCAGTGGACCCTGTTAGAACTGGACATCCTCTCATGCAACCCAAACCAAAGATCGCGGCAACAAAGCCTCCTGTCTCGACCTCAGTTAGTATTGCTGTGAAACGCACTGCAGATGAAATGGCTTCGACTCAGATCCATAGGCTTATTGCAGATGTCAAACAACCATGGCAGACTGGACCTTGGTCGACCTTACTTTCAAAACAGAAACCTTTTTGGGAACGTTTGCAGCGACAGAACAAGATGCCTTTGGTTGGACTCTCAGACCACATTGCATCGTCGTCAGAAGATAGTGCCATGCCAAAACCTATACAGCAGACTGAGTTGACAGTGCAACGCATCAGGGCTTCAAGACTTGTCTCTTCGCAGGACGATTACCGTCACCTGGCTTTGTCAAGGTTTAAGACTATGGTTTTGTTGAACCTAGATGGCACAAGGCTTGGGCAATCACTGCGCAGTTTTGCTGGTACATTATGTCCTGATGATGAGTTGTCACAGATTTTCATGGATGTTTTTGCACCAAAAGCAACTGGAACCATTCTGAAGAGATGCAACGCACTTTGGAGGTTTTCTGGTTGGCTGCAAACACAGGGCCTTGGATCACCCTTTTGCCAAGAAGAGAAGACTCTGTATCAATACGTTTGTCATTTGCGGCAGTCTCAAGCAGGTCCAACAACACCCTCTCAATTCTTGGAGGCTATGAGGTTTTCTGACGCGTTGCCGGGCTTCACACAGGTGCGTTTGTCAGACATGCTGAGTGCTCGAGTTGTCGGGGCCGCTCATGCCACATACATGACAAAGAGAGTGAGGAAACCTGCCGAAGTTTTGACTGTTGCCGAAGTTTCAGCTTTGGAAGACATTTGTTTGAATGACGCAGAGCTTCATCGAAGGGTAATCGCTGGGCACTTACTTTTCAGTTTTACTGCTGCAGCACGATGGCATGATTCAATGTTTGTGGTGTCACTGGACTTGTCGACTGCTGGCAGCATAGTCCTCCTGGAGGCCCTGACATCGAAACATAAATCGTCTCGAGGCAAAGAACAGCAGATGGAATTACTGCCTTTAACTGCCCTGGGAAGAGTGACCGACGAAGGCAACTGGGGACAAAGCTGGATGGAAGCACGACAACAATGCGATGCAAGTGGCTGGAACAATTTCTTGAACTCATGGTCAGAGAGTGCTCATTGCTGGGTTGATTCTAGAATGTCGACTGCTGAAGCTACAGGTTGGTTGAGAGAACTTTTGGAGCCTCTTACAGGTTCTACGCGGGCTCGGCTGCTTACAGTTCACGGCCTCAAGGCCACACTTCTCAGCTGGGCAGCCAAGAGCACTTTGTTTTCAGCAGACGAACAACTGGCTTTGGGACACCATGTGAGTGCACAGTATCGTTCGGCCATGATCTACTCCAGGGACAACCAGATTAGCCTTTGTAAAAAGTTGCATGACATGTTCACCAAGATCAGAGATGGCACTTTTGACCCTGACGCAACACGCGTCAGTCGCTTGTTTCAGCTGGCATATGCGACAATGTTGGAAAGCAATGGCGATGAGAGCTCCAGCAATTCAAGCTCTACGTCTGATGCTTCATCGGTGGCTTCCTCAGAGGGTGAGCACAACGTCGTGGCACAAAGACCAGCGTATCAACGACTGGAGACTGACGAAGTGGAGCTGAGTCTGTGCCTTATCAACAGCAATTCAAGGGTCATCCATATGATGGTTTGCGAAGACGGAAAGTTTTGGTGTGGGAGGCATCCCACGACTTCGTTCAGGAATGCAACCATGGATGACCTCAATGCAACGGAAGCAGTGATCTGTGCCAACTGTTCTCACGCTTACAAGGCGTCAGAGAATCAGTCATGATGGCCATGCTGGAATGTGAGTTACAGAAAATAACTGGCTCGCTTTCGTATACCCCGACAAAGCACATGGGGATGCAGTCTCTTGAGCCTTACTCTCCGCGAAGTTGGCTTATCTGTACCATGTCCGAATGGATGTATAAAAGTGAACAAGTGAGCGGCAAGTTCACCGCTGTGTTTAAAGGCTGATTGCACAAAACTTTTGTCACTGGAACCCATGTGCTTGAAATTTTTGTGATTCCTTTTGGGGCTATCATGGGCACACTTTGCATGCGTCACATGTGAGTCATGAGATTAGGTTCACATGACTGCCCAATGCCTAGCATGTCATCATGCGGCAGAGGTATCATTGCCTGACATCTCAACTCAGACTTCTTTCATGTGGGGCACTGCATTGGCTCAGCACCAACGTGCTCCAAACAGAACACATCACGTTTGCGCAGGTTCACAGACAAATAAGTTTTGCATTAAAGTGTTGCTATGTTCACAGAAACTGTTGGACAGCAATTACAACTTTTTGACTTCCATGTTGAAATTAATCTCGAACTTGTTTCAACTTGATTCTTCTTGAGGCGTAGTTCAGCAACTAATGGCTATCGACTCAAGAATCGCGTTTCAGAACAGGGCAGCTGAACTTGGAATCGAGCAGGATGACATCGAGGCACTGGCAGAGAAAGGCAATGCTACTTATGCATACTGCTGCACGTTTCAACCTGGTCAAACTGATGACACTGCATTGACTAACTTCTTGGGAACAGCCTTGGGTGCCGTTCCAAATGCTGCTGCCGCAACCAGATTTCGTAGGCTTTTCTTTGAGGCTCATGCTTTGTCACTGGAGGACTTGAAGTCACGTGCAGACAGGGTTGAGTCCAGTGAGGCCAGAATACTTCCTTTGGCTGAAAAGATGGACCGAATCAGACAGCAGAAAGAACGGCTTGTAGGTTTGAGCTTCACTCCTCAAAGTGAGCCTTCGCATTCCTTGATTGACCGTGTTTGCCAGCAGTTGGAGGACAACGTTGTGACATACGTTGAATTGAACAGGTGCTCATCGCGTCATGACGAGGCTTTGCACTCAAAGGTTGACACGTCATTGGCTTTGGACAACGCTGGTGGCCTGCGACTCAGCAAGAAACAACGGCTTGATGATGTGAATGTGACAGGTGAGCACAAGTTGAGACAAGCCTTCCTGCGGAGATCACTAGCATATGATTTGGCTGGCATTGGAACCTTTTCAGTTCTGGACCTATGGACACAGAAACTTTTTGAGAAGATGAATGAGGCGCCCATTGCCAATTACAGGCACATCAGCGTTGAACAGGCAATCAACGCCGACAAGGCGCTTTGGGTGAAGGTCTCCAATGAGACGCGAGGCAAGTTGCATCCAAAGGCTGGAGCAGACAAACCATTTGACGTTGCCTTTACAAAATTTGCTGATCACCCCGAAGTCCTTCAGCACTTGACACCGTTGCAGAGTCATGGAATGTCCAAGCCGGAGCACCCGCACTCCTTCTCTGCAACTGGAAAAGGGAAAGGCTCATACAATGCAGAAGGCAAAGGGAAGTCTTCAAAAGGCAAAGGCAAGACAGCCCCCGGCATTGCAGTGCCGGATGATTGTGAAATCTTCGTTGATGGCAAGCAACTTTGCAAAAGATGGCAGATTGGACGTTGCACTGCAAAAGTAAAGCCGGGCAAACGCTGCATGGTTGGTTATCACATGTGTTGGAAGAAGGCATGCCATAAGCTGCATCCGGGCAATGAGTGCCCCCACTGACTTTGTTTGAAACAGATGGATGACAGTTTCACTTTGGAAGCTACAACATTCGAGGTTTGTTGTGGCTCAGCAGGATTGTCTGACGCATTAAGGCGTCTTGGCTTCCAAGTCTACCCCATCGACCATGCGGCAAATCGACATGCACCTAAGGTCAAAGTTTTCACTTTGGATGTTTCGAATTCAGAACATGTGACGCTGTTGGAAAAAATGATGCGTCACTGCAAGCCGTGTCACATCCACATGGGTTTACCATGCGGAACTTGTTCCAGAGCACGTGAGAAACCGATGCCAGCGAAATTTGGGGGACACATTGGTCCACCACCGCTCCGTGATGCCGAACATCTCCTTGGTTTGCCGGGCTTGAGAGACAGCGACCAAACCAAAGTTGAACTTGCAAACAAACTTTACAAATGTGCCATTCAATTGCTCAAAGTTTGCATGGAACTGGGATGCATGATATCAATTGAAAATCCCGCGAGGTCATGGCTGTGGGCTCTCCTTGCAATGTTGGTAAACGCCACCAATGACACCGATTTCATTGCTTGGTTTGCTGACCTTGAAGCTGTGTATTTTGATGCTTGTGCACATGGAAGCACCAGAGACAAACGCACAAAGTTGCTCGGCACTCCAGGTTTGTTTACATCTTTGGAAGCGAGCTGTCCTCAAAACCACACTCATTCATCATGGCAGCCATACCAAACGGAGCAGGGCATTGTGTTTCCCACAGCGGCAGAGGCAGAATACCCAGCCTTACTTTGTCGTAGAATGGCAGCTTGCGTTTTACAAATGGCTCAAACCATGAATATTACACCTAAAGTGCCGGCTAGGTTGAAAGACTTGCTGAAGTTCAACATGGGTCAACAGACCGTGTCACACCCACCGCTTGTGCCAGAGTACAAAACCTACGTCTTTTCTGACGTACCTGAGTCCAATGAAGCTTACAAATTGCTAGCTGCTCCTCCTCTAAAAGGGGCAGAATCCACTGAGCAGCAGCAAAACAGCGAAGAAGCGCCAAGCAAGAGGTCAAGAACAACTTTCAAATATGGTGTTTGGCATACTCCGGAAGAGTTTCTGCAAAAGGCGTCTGAAGTCAGACATCCTATGGACCATGACTTGATGTTGCACCCACTCACCAAAGAGGCCATCCACAAGGTGGTTCACACATGTCCGACAAAACTTGCCAAGGAGAGGCTTGCAGCAGTCTTCAAAATGCGCAAAATGTCATCAGATTTGTGCCAAAAGGAGGTTGAACTCAAATCAAGCATGCATCCAGACGTAAGCCGTTGCGTCAAGACAAAGAACATTCTCTTGTTTGAACAGCTCCTCAAGCACTTCGAGTTCTGGGATATGGAAGTGGTGAACTTGCTGAAACATGGGGTCCCACTAGTTGGACTACAGCCTCCTCCGGAAGGGTACCAGAAGCTGCTGGTGCCTGCAAGCATGACAGAAGATGAGTTGCTACAGACGGCCATGTGGAGGAGGCAAAGCATAATGCAGGGCGCTCGACAGCTCACAACAACTGAAGAGACGGCCTTGCTGGAGGCAACAGCAAATGAAGTGGAACGAGGTTTTCTGCAAGGACCATACAACGAGGCTGAAATGTCGGTGTTGATGGGATCGGAAGACTGGTCGCTCAACCCCAGATTTGTGCTGTTTCAAGGAGCCAACAACAAAGTCAGAGTAATAGATGACGCCAAACAAGGGTCGGTCAATGCTGCTTATTCTTCAACTGTCAAACTCCAGTTACAAGATGTCGACTATGCTGCAGCCATGGTTGTGGAAGTCATGCGAGAATCGGCAGACAGGCTTGGCCCAAGCCTTAAGTGGCTTGGGAAAACATTTGACTTGAGCAAGGCCTATAAACAGCTTGCAGTGCTACCTGAACATCAGCGACACGCGGTAGTTGGCTTCCCAGTGAAGGGTGTTTGGCGCTTTTATAAGAGCATCTCCCTCCCCTTTGGCTGCGCTGGAAGTGTTTATGGCTTTGTTAGGATGTCGCAGGCGTTATGGTTCATCACTGGCAAACTCCTTCACTGCATCACATCGCATTACTTCGATGACTTTCCAACACTGGAGAGATCGGAGGGTTGCAGAGTGCTGACATTGGCGTTTAGTGCTACTTTAGACTTACCCGGCTGGGAACATGCAAAGGAGGGTGACAAGGCGCTTGACTTTTCAGAAGTTTTTGATCTGCTGGGCGTCACTTTTAACCTCAACCACGTGCCACGGGGCAACTTCGTGATATCCAACAAAGACAGCAGAGTTGAAAAGCTGTGCAAGATGCTTGAAGACATAGAAACCGCTGGCACCATCACAGCAGCCACGGCAAGCGAAATCCAGGGACTTCTTAATTTTGCTGTAAGTTTTTACATGGGCAAAGGTTTGAAGCACTTGGTTTCTGCGTTCATGCAATTTGCAGATGGTCAGCGAAAGGCGAAGTCAGACGAGCTTAGGTGCTTGTGTGCCTATGCCAAATCAATGCTTCTCAGCCAAAAACCTAGAGTACATTCTTTGTCAGCTCCTTGCCAGCCTGTCTTGATCTTCACAGATGGGGCTTATGAGAACGGAATTGCAACTGCAGGAGCTGTGGTAATTGATGGTCACAGCCGGGTTGCATATGAAGTCGCTGTGCCAAAGGATCTGATTGACCACTGGACTCGGTTTGCTGGCGATCAAATAATTTCACAAGTTGAGTTGTGGGCATTGCTCTCAATGAGATGGTGCTTGAGAAAACAACTGCATAACCGTAGGGTCATTGAATGGATTGACAATGAAGCGGCTCGCATGACCACCATAAAAGCTAATAGCCCTTCTACTACCATGAGGAGTTTGGGACGCATCATGGCGGACATCGAAATACGATGGCCTACTGCTTCCTGGACTGAGAGGGTTTGTTCTTTTTCCAATCCAGCGGATCTGCCTTCAAGGGGCAAACTTGCTGAAGCTCTTCTAAGATACAACCTTGTGGACGGAAAACTTTTAGATGCTTCCAATGACCTTACGGAGATTGTGATCCAATTGCTCCACTCTCCATACAAAGCTGCTCCTCCTGAACTGGGGGCACCAACTGAGCACCTTTGTATCGACAACTCACAACCGTGAGATTCGAACCAAAAGACAGATTCACACAACTGTGTTATCAAAGCTTGCTCGTCGAACCATTTGGTGCGACCACCCCAGACCTTCAGGGCGCAAGAAAAAGAGAGAAGCAGTTGTCACGTTGCGTCGGCATG